GAGCCGAAGGAGTACTTTGCCAGCAGTTACAGTGGATGATATTGCACATCAAACGGCAAATCTCTCCGTAGGAGACCTCGATGAGAAGATGGACGAAAACAATGCTTCATTTCCGGACGTCTCGAGGCCACCTTCACCTCCCTCGGTTACGAACCCCTATGATATCGACCCGGCGCTTGCTGAAAAAGTGTTCACCAACCGAACAGATATTTTCATCCATTCTGGAGTTCGATTGTGTTGCGGCCTTTTACTTCTTGTTTTCTCCATGATTGAAAATCCAATTTTCAACAAAATATTGTACATTGTCGGATTCAAAGGGGATCGAGAACGTGGAACCAGACTCCTATGGCAAGCGACAAGATATCAAAATTTCAATAGTGCCATTGCTGCTCTTGCTTTACTTGGATATTATAATGGATTGGTTGGATTCTGTGATATTTTACCCACCGATGCAGGAGCTGACGAAAACCTTACGGGATATCCAAAAAAGAAATGCCAGGCGCTTCTAGCTGAAATGAAAACTCGACACCCTGATTCTAGGTTGTGGAAACTAGAGGAAGCTCGCATGTTATCTTATAAACAAGATTTAAAAGGTGCCCTTGAAATTCTGGAGGAGAACTCTAAGAGTAAAATGAAACAAATTGCTATGATCAATACATTTGAGATGGCTCTTACTACCTTGTTCTTCCACGAATATCAAAAGTCGGCGACGGCATGGATCAACTGCAGCGAGCAGAGTGCTTGGAGTCCAACGTTATACTACTACATGGCTGGTGCTTCATACGTCGAACTTTATCGCAATACTCGAGTCAGCGATCCTACGGCAGCTAAGATCTTCAAGAAAAAAGCTACCGAATTTCTCCTGAAAGCTCCACCTCTAGCAGGCAAACAAAAAGTAATGGCTAAGCAACTCCCTTTCGATATCTACATAGTAAGCAAAGTGGGTAAATGGGAACAAAGAGCCAAAACATGGAATGTAGATCTGGTAGATGCAATCGGACCCAGTCCTTTTGTTGAAATGATATACTTCTGGAATGGAGTTAAGAAAAGTGGAAATGTGGAGTTGCAGAAATGCTTAGATCTTCTCGAAGAGGGTAGAATGACGTGTCCGGAGAAATGTAATGAGGATGAGGATGATAAGGCAATCCATCTTTTGCTACGTGGATGTGTGATGAGAAATATGGGGAGGTACGAGGAAGCGAGAAAGATCTTGACAGGGGAAATTGTGGATTCTGAAAGGTATTTCTCTTCTTCATATCTGTGTTTATTTTGAACGCCATGACTAACGTATACCAGACATGCACGTGGCGCTCTCAGAGATGACTGGACTCTTCCCTCCGCCTACTATGAATTAGCATGTTGCTCCTGGCACGAGAAAGATTTGTCCCCAGCGGGAGATACAGTTTCGGAGGGGAAGGTTTCCGATGGTAAATTAATAGAGTATCGGAAGGAAAAAGTACTCGATTGTGAAGAGAAACTACTCAAGTTGCATAGTTGGCCACAGACTTACGTTTTTGAGGCGAGAATGAGCTTTAAGATTAGTACTAGTTTGCTTACAGTCAGACGAGAGAGGGGTTTGATTGGTCTTTAAAGGAGAAACTAGAGATCGGGGGATGAGATGGGCGATAGAGATAGATAGTTGAAAATATGGGGGGGTCAAAAGACGTTGGATGTAGAAAGAAAGGACCTCCGTCGGTTCGCGTTGGCATTTATAGATAGATGGGTTGGTTTTGGTATTGGAGTTTTGGTTAGCGAGGTGGATGATTGCTGGGACTGGATAATGGAGACACGAATGATATCGTTGTGATCTGAGAACGAAGAATCAGTTCTGAACGGGTTTTAGGAAGAAAAATGGAATTGAAGAAATGAGTAAAGATAGATGTTCGCAAGATTAGATAAATTGAGAAGAACGAGATCAACAGATTCACTGGGAAAGGGGAGACGTTCAATGTATTTCATGTAATGTAGCGATGGTGGCTTACATATGAAGACATTATACCTGAACTTCTAGATAGAAGTGGTCCCAAACCAACTATTGGTACGTGGTTCCAAAATCACATTCCTATTCCGGGATTCCAAGACTGACTTGGACGACCCGTGGACAGCATAATACTCTGTGAAATAAGGAGCAATCGATATGTTGATCTCATCATGTCTTACTCTTAAAATCTCAATTTGGTATTTTCATATACACTCAAAATCCGCCCTAAATACAAAGCCTGAAAGATGCATCTGTGCATGTCGTGTAACAGGTCCAAAGAAAATCGCTTGCCAAATCCATTAACCGATTTCCATGAGATGATCATCTCTTCCGTTCATATCGTCACCTCATAAAAGTTTATTCATTCCTCCTTGCATAAGACACTGCAATGATCACTAGCTTTTACCATCCCTCTAAACCTCATTACTTGGGTATTCAACACTTCCAATGGCAACGAACTCTTCCTTCAATGCTCTCACGCTGACGAATCTACCCAATAGATTCATACTTCCTGCCTTATCGTTTGTTCCACTAGCTCTTGCACCTCCAAAGGGTTGTTGTCCAACCACAGCGCCGGTACTCTTGCAATTGACATAGAAATTACCTGCTGAATTTCTCAATGCTTCTTCCGCATATCTAATCGCGGCTCTGTCGGTCGCGAAAACTGCGCCAGTGAGTCCATATTCAGATGTGGTATCAACGAGCTTGCAAACCGACTCGAAAGCTTCAACTGGAGCCGAAGAATCATCGTAGACGTATACTGTAAGAACTGGACCGAAAAGCTCAGTAGAGAGAAGAGGGTGTCTTGGGTTGGTGGTTTGGTAGATAGTTGGATGGATATAGTAACCGGTTGAATTCTCGTGCTTGCCTCCTACAAGAAGTTCGAGCTCGGAGTCGGATTTGGCGTTGTCAATGACTCCTGAGAGTTTCTTGAATGATGGTTCGTGAATAACTGGGCCGATAAAGTTCTTTGGATCCTTTGGAGATCCGATTGAAAGTTTGGATGTTTCTTCAACCAGCTTTTCCTTGAATTGAGGCCAGATGGATTTGGGAACATATGCTCTTGATGTAGCACTACACTTCTGTCCTTGGTACTCGAAAGCGCCACGAACAGTGTTGAGAGCAGCATTCTCTATATCAGCTGAAGAGTGGATAAGATGGAAGTTCTTTCCTCCAGTCTCCCCTACAATTCTTGGATATCCTTGATACCTACCCTCGGCAACCCCGTTTGCGATTGATCCATAGAGCTTTCTGAATACACTGGTACTTCCGGTGTAGTGAAGAGCAGCCAATTGCTTATGTTCCAAAACAACCTTGGTAACTTCGACGGGGTTTCCTGGCACGAATTGAATAACATTCTTAGGGAGGCCAGCCTCGAGCAAAATGTTGTACAATAACCAATTTGAAGCAATGGCAGAATCAGATGGTTTCCAAACCACAACATTTCCCATCAAAGCTGGTGCACCTGGCAAGTTACCCGCAATTGCTGTGAAATTGAATGGAGTAACAGCGTAGACGAATCCCTCCAAAGGTCTGTACTCGAGTCTATTCCAGACACCAGGCGAATGATGTTCGGGTTGTTGCGCATACAATTTTTCGGCATATTGAACGTTGAATCGGAGGAAATCTGCCAACTCTGCAGCAGAATCGATCTCGGCTTGCCAAGCATTCTTTCCCTGTCCCAGCATTGTAGCAGCCATAATTTCATATCTATATTTGCCAGAGATGAGATCTGCGGCCTTTAGGAATATAGCGGCTCGGTCTGCAAAAGGAAGAGATTCCCACTCGGGTTTTGCGGCGAGGGCAGCATCGATTGCGGAGGAAACATCGGATGGGGAGGCATTTGAATAGGTTGCAACTTTTGAGGAATGATCGGCTGGGTTGAGCTGGTGGGAGACGGAGGAGGTTTTAATCTGTAATTATTGTTAGCTTCATTTACTAGACCGTGAGAAACAACCAAGACTGACCTCCTTACCTCCGACTACCAAAGGGACTTCCAAAGGAGCCTTACTTTCCAGTCTCTCCAATGCCTTATAAAGTCCACCGCGTTGTGCGGATCCCTTAGCATAATGATGCTACATCGTCCATTAGCATTCCCGTTGCTCTTCTGAAAGAAAGTTATAACTTCTATTTTCTGGACAGAACTTACATTTGGCTCATTAACCACCTTTGGAATTTTAAAGCTAGCAATTGTGGCCATATTGCATCTATTTCCTGTACTTGATGTGATGCTACTACCCAAAGTGCTGGTGCGGGGTAGACGTATTGAAGCTTCACATTTGTAAGAAGCAATCAATGAACAACGATTAATTGTCTGAAAGCTTCTAGAGCTTTTGATATTTCTTGCGAGCATGATTGATGAATGGAGACTTTGCGAACCAAAGAAACAAAGAAAGAAGATAAAGTATAATTAGAGGATATGCCTACCTCGAAAAGAAGAGCAATCGGTGTTATCACGTTTATTTGTTGTATGATAAGAACATCGATGCGCCGAACAACGGGCAATTATATGTTTGAAGCTGTAGCTATCAGTTCGGTTTCTTACGGCTTTAGCACAATTAGACGCTAAAAGTAATCTAAATTTATAGAGGGGTGGATAAGCCCCGCATTGATCTCAACGGATAAGTCAGGAACAGAATCAATTGATGAAATAGTAGCGAAGATTCTCTTTCCATGATCGGAGTAAGGAGGTGTATTGTGTTACAAAAGTTGATCTTTCATGTCATTGTCGGCTGAATCAAACCGAATGTATTGAAAATCGAAGGTATCAAGGATATGAAGAATTACCAAAGCCGTCTTGGCCCACAATCTTAAGTGAATAACAATATTATAGTGTCTCCACCGGGAATGAGTTCTTTGGAGTTACACTGGAGATGCTGTATTGGTTTATTGGACAGATGTATCAGACCATAACTCCCAGTACCTTTGCAAGTGCAATCAGGAGGTGTAGACTATCATTCGAATATTTCGGCCGCTCATGGTCATGTTCAATGATGGCTGTCCCACGGTGCGCGGAGCCCTCTCGGTTCAGATGAAGGGGTAAATTCGCGAGAGCGGAGAGGAGTGAAAAAATAAAAAGCACGCTTTGTACGATACAAATCACACACCAAACTATATTCTCTAGGTTTCAAATCTGAAGGAATATTTGATTGTCGAATCTGATCTGGAAGACTGAGAAACCCCATTTGGGCTAAGAATATTCACTGAGAAGTCAATCTCCACCAAGTGGCCTTCTGCCCTCCAATTCATTATTGCTGATTGAGTATATACTTCTATAGCTATCATCCGAAGTCAATTGACTTACGCCAGATGCTCTCACCGATTGCTACGTTTTGTTTCAGTTATCGTTCGAAATTCGTCAATTGCTCGCAGAATTCCTCAAAATCCGGGTAGAACTTCTGGCTCTGTGATTCGAGGATCTGTGGCTAGGGCGTAAAGAAATTTGTGATCTCGCGTCGTCAATTCAAGGCTTTCAACTCCGACTCATTGAATTTGAAGGTCTAAGTATATTGTTTGTCGGTCTTTTGTTAATTGATACGGGGCGAAGACTCTCCAGCTCAATCTCATCGCTTAACACCCCTTTATGGCGATGTGGGATTACCATGCTTACAGCCCAGGCCACCAATATTATCAATGTTAACGGAACTGTGACAGCCCAGTAATACCCAAAGCCTTTTTGTATTATCATGGAGCCGTCAGGTGTCCAAGTGAACACTGGCATTGCAAAGACTGACTTTTTTTAAAAGTTAGCAATAGTAAAATGAGGAGCACGAGTGACGCACTGCAATGAAAGTTCCCGGCAAGAAAACCATTCATAGAATAGCGATCGTTTTCATGGCTTTTGAGTCTCGTTTTGTGTCTATAGCAATGATTTTCATGACCTCGCTATCCTTCCTACTCGCTTTTGCAAGGTCGGTTGAAGCTTCCGTCAAGAATATGGCACGGCGAGCAGAGGCTTCTGCTTGGAATTGTTGAATCTTTAAACCAAAGGTAAATAGCTGGATTAGACAATGGTAGATCATTTAAGGAACTTACGACAGAAAGTAGAGCATCCCTTCTCATCTGTAGATACTCCATCTTTAAAAGCATATGCTCGCAATGATCCCTCAATTCTCCAATTGTCTGCTTCCCTTCCTGGTCCAGTCCATCTAACACCTTTGTTGCAAACAATGCTCCTTTGATACAGACTGAAAGTCCAGCCACACTATACTCTGCTTTGCTCAAATCGGTAGTCGTACCTATGAAGTCTATGTGTAACGGATCTATTGAGGAAACATAGTTTTCATCACCTTGATTGTTAGAATTTTGTATTTTGTCGGTATCAACCCATCTATTGTGCTGACCGGTAACACTTTCAATTGCGTTGATATCAACTTCCGTATTGTTGATTCTGTCATCTAATTGCTTTAATTTATGACGTATGAATAGCCTAGCGATACACCATGGCTGACTAACTCCCAGATAGGAATCGACGTTGAATGGTAAAGGAACGATATCTATGTCCTCGTGTGCGATAAAGAGGCCAGTGGTTATGCGAGTACTAGAGCTTTTACTCAAAGTAAGGAGATTCCAGTTATTGATGGCAGATCCGAGTTTGAACGTGAGGGTTGTTAGTAATTCGGTTTGAGAGCTTGTAGAAGTAGTTTTGAAAGATCGAGTGATCCCACTACGGTGGATTTGAAGAAAGTTGCTTGGAATATTGAAAGACGAAGCAGATAATATCTTAGAATAGGAAGTTTTGGTGAAAGGTAAAGCTACTTTCCAATCGTCGGGTAATACAGCATCTGCGTTACTCCAACCTTTTCCAGCACTATATGAATTAGCCACCAGATTCAAACTAGACTGTGCGGTCAATAGTCTCGTACTCCATCTGGCATGAAACTTCAAATGCCCTTTAATGTTACCCTGGATTCCGGACAATCAAACAAATCCCGAAAAACCCAGACAATAAAACATTCAGATGAGAACTATACATACAGAATACGAATACCACTTTCAGGTTGATTACCATCGATGGCTAGATCCTAGTGCGAGTCAGTAGATAACCTTGTTCGTCGCTCTCAAACATTGTTACTCGATTCAAGCAAATTTTGCAGCTAAAACTCAGAGTGTAAAAATTCTATGCGCGAAGAATTGACTTTCATTTCACGTCGAAGCTGTCAAGGTTGAGAGTGTGGAAGGAAATATATAAAAAAGCTGACTTCGCCGAGTGCAGGGGTCGGGAAAAGCCTCAATCCTACAGCACATAATGGCATCAGCCTCCAATTCATGTGATGCGTAGCCAAGAAAAATCGGATTATAGGTTATAGCAATTAAGACTTGTGACAGGTAAAATTATTGCTGACTCTAATTCGGGACATTTGAGGTTGAAAAGTGCCATAGGCTATTCGCAATTTTACATTGTTATACGTTCAATATCTTTCACAGTACAGTAGTCCAAACAACGCTACCACCCTACCAGACTAATCACTCCTCCTTACAACCCCCGGAACAAACCACCAAGCCCCCATCATACACCCCAACAGCCCTAAAACGACTGGTTGCAAAACTCTAGCTCCTGCCCCATCCCCACCATCCAAATTCGCCGCCAAAATACCAGTCATAGCTGGAAATATATTTCCACCGGCTTGCGCAATCACAAAAATTATACTCGAGGCAGGTGTAATGATTCTCGACGGAAGAAGTAGTTTGGTATGCGTAATTGCTGCTGGGAAAAATGGTCCCAGAAGGAATCCGAGTAAACATACAATGACGACACTGCCAATTAGACTGGAGAGTCTCCAGCTAATGATCTGGAGAATAATGCATAGCAAGGAATAGAGGAGGATCATTGGCTTTTCACCGAATCGATGAGTAGGTTCGATGAGGAAGAGACGACCGAGTGCGTTTCCTGCGTAGAAGAGAGTGGGAAGGTAGCCAATCGATGAAGCTTGGATTCCTGAATTGGGCGCGAGAGTGAGGAGGTAAGTCACTAGCCAACCGCCGATGGTTATGACGCTACCCAAATGAAAGAAAAAGAAAAAACTGATAATCCAGACGCTTTTTTCTCTCAGGACTTCCCCAATATCTCTCCACATTGCATTTCCTCTTCTTGCATGATCACTTTGTTCACTTTCTTCACCTTGTTCTTCGCTATCTTGATCATGCCGCGTTTTGGTCACTATATCTCTTGCAAAGGCCCAAGCTACCACACAAACATTCAAGCCTGCAACTCCAGCCAAAGCCCCATAACTCTCCATCCAGTGCACCGGCTTGACAGTTGCAATGCCAGTTACAGCCAATGGACCAAGCAAACACCCCACACTATACGCCGCGTGTACCACACCCAACCACCGATGTGCCTTGTCACCAACCTGGGCTATATAAGTATTTGCTTGAGCATCTTGGTATGCCTGACCTAGAGCCGCCAGACCAAAGCTCACTACGAACAATGGCCATGGGGACCCCCAGATTCTTATAAATTGAGTCAAAAGTTGCAAACTCGCACCTAGAAGTAGTATCCCACCAATGCCCAGACGTAGATGGGTTTGGAGAAAGGGAATAGTAATTGCCGCAATTACCCAGCCGAGAAAGCAGGAGAGATATAGAAAGGCGATGGATGATGTGGAAAGCGAATATGTGTCTAATATGTAAGGGATGAGAGAACCGAGACTACCATCATTGAGACCGGCGGTGAAAAAGGCAAGGATTGATGATGTAATTTTCAAGATCAGGGCAAAATTCGATGTTGATTCAAGAGGAGATGACGATGGGTCAGACAGGGGGCGAGATGGTGTATTTTGTGATGATGAAACTGCCTCTGGCCTAAGTACGGAAAGGGGGACCTCGGTAGAGAGACTTTGGTGAATGGTCTGCGTTTGGGACATGATGTAGCTACCCTTCTAGGGAGGAGCAAAAGTAATAGGTGGTAAAAAATAACATACAACAGTGGGGATTCGCTGGTGGTCACCCACCCAACTACTAATCCACCGATCTGAAGCTTGTGTATGGCAGAGCGGACGGGATGCCCAATTCTCTTCAGTCTATGGTCGTATGTATTAGTTCGGATTCTAACAATCAATATATCAGCTGTTGCACGAAACAGAACTATCATCAATAAAATGCTAGATGTATATATATATATGACATAATTGACAGTGACGTCACGCTGTTGACAGCCTCTACGTAACCGAAAAAAGCGGCGGAAATTGACCACTATTCAAAAGAACTTCAACAACTAAGATCTCTTCTCGATATAAGTTTAAATAATAGAAACATTTCATATCAATACAAAAAGGACTCAAATTTTTGTATGCTTTTTTCAAATTTCAATATTTAATTTGAAATGAATTTATAATCTATTAAAAAAGATCTTTGAAACGGTACTCAATTTCCGCCGCTTTTTTTTTTGGTTACGTAGAGACAGCTCAGCCTCTCATCGCTTGACGGCCCGACATTCCAGGATGCATACATAAGGTTAATGTTCGGGCCATAATCTACCACCTTGATGGCGACCTTCCGATTGGCAGATTGGTGATGCAAGTGAACTTGCACGTGGCCACACAGAGCCTGAAACTCGGAGGGGCCGGCTCGGGCGAGAGAGCATGCTACGCGTATTTCCTCCTCCTTCCTCGCTGACATTGTCCTCGACTTTTATGGCTTTCGATTATATGACTTCGGATTATATAATCAAAATGAGTATAATGCATGGTCAGTTTGCTTGAGCCCTGAAACTCTTCTATTACTATTTGCAGTACTTTGTACTGACATGTAAGTTCCAGGTATACACTCTCAATAAGATACTGTGAATACATCATACTTACCACCGAGAGGAAACAAATGATTGCAAGCTTTGTACGAAAAAAGCAGGGCAAAGGCAGGACCAATAGAAATTGAAGCAATTACTTCACGCATTCGGAGTTTATGATTGAGGTGGCCAAGTCTCTCATTATATTGCCCTGACGAGGGCCTAGGCTGGCGCATCCACTAGGGACCGCCCATACACAATCATCAAGATCATGCACACAACTAAAGCTACAGCATCTCCATGCATCCCAACAGAAATAAGAAAAGTGGTGCGAAGAAGTCGCCCGACCAGTAGATCCATCTGTACCATTTCCTTTTCAATTCCAAACGCAACGAGTAACATACCCACAGAGTAAGTCAAGCAATTTGTGAGGGTTGATAGCAAAACAGTACAGAAAGCAAGAAAAAGCAAACGCGAGTTCCTTCCGCTAAAAAGAACAACATCGAAGCGAGATAGCAAGGGGTATGACTGAGAAAAGGATAGAAAATTAATCTCGCGTATCATCAAAAAGATGGCCAACCTCGTGTGTCGAGGCGGAGGAATTTGGTGCAAGCATCGCAAAAATCTCCAAAAATTGGTACCAAATTTGATGGAGATATATGATCAATCTCAAAAACAATTGACGCCGTGCCGAAATACCTAACATGGAACATGCAACACTTCAGATGGTTTTTGGAGATTTGAAATTTCTATCTTAGAAGTCAGTAAACCTGTGAGAGAGTAGGTCAGTAGTTCATGGAAAAGGGAGGAAATGGCTGACCCAATATCCACAATGTCATCCACATGGTTGCATAATGCCACGAAAAGGTCAAAAAAAAGTTTACCGCCACTCTCCATTTCTGTCTGCATGGTTCCGCTCCTCTTAAATGTCTTACGACATCTGATAATCAAGGCAAGATAATGAGCGCGTAGTCTAGAGTCCGTGTCTGGCGTGTTGTCATAAGCATACCGAGCACTGCGAAGAATTGTAGCAACCTCGATTCCACTCTGTAAACCTTGCTTGCGAAGAGCAACGCGTTTGAGTTCCTCGAGACCATACTTCTCCGCAGCGCAGTATATGACAGTATCCTTTAAAAGGTGTTCTTCCACGCTGGATATATAACTTGTAGCCTCTACCGACCCGCGGCCACCTATATTTTCGGGGTTGGGTGAATGATCTGCATCCTCAAGCTCCCAAGAGTTTCGGCGTTTGTTGTGAATCAAACGTGGATAGTAGTCACCCTTCTGTAAATTTGTCAGTATCACCGAGATGACTGTGTACTTCATGCCATCGGTAAACGTACGTAAAGGTATTCGAGAACACAGGAGAAGATTTCAGGTTCTTCATCGGGTAAGGTGATCCTCTTACTCTGCGCCTCGAAGAATTGTCCTCTCATTGCCGTCGCAAAGTATGGAGACAATGACAGTACATCTTCATGCGCCGCAAACAGTCGTCCTTCCTTACCAACTGTAAATGTTACAATTGGTGAGGTCAAGCTACTATAGTGATGTCCCATCAGTTTTGATTCAACTCAAGCCACAGTTCATATTCAACAACATGATCAGCCTGTCTTACCTCGCATTGGGTGAGCCTTGCGAGCTTTGATCGAACGACTTCTGCAATTTCGACAATTTTGCGGGATCCCTATATGATTTCTTCAATTTGATGTTCTTTTCCACACGATCATTCGATCTATGGGAACGCTTGAACATGGCTGCTTCGGGTATATTGTCAATTGATCGATATATGGACTTGGAAGGGTAATTGAATGAGTGTCGAAATTAGTATTCGGATGTGAGGGTAGGGAGAGAAAGGTGATTGATTTGACACACAAAACGAAAGATTGACAGGGTCTCGGAAGAAATCTCAAAATTGTACTAAGTGACAGTAATGAGATTCTTGAATGTTGGTAGTCGACCCGAATGGTGTGGTAAGGAAAGGAAAAAAACGGTCGCGAGGGCGCGAAGAGGCCTCAATATATATATTTATCCATTGACACACGGCGGCCAAACATTTTCTTGGCAGGCAACCAATGTGTATCCCACGTGATACTCGGTCAGTCCAATTGAGGTTCAAATGGTAGGGATCAAAATATCTTTTTCATTTGATTCGTTCTACTCAATGCCGCTCAGCCTCAAGTTCATATCGTGATGAGTCCATTCGTTGTTATGTGTAACATTTTGTGATGCCTATCATAGGCTGAATTTCCCGTCTTCGCTGTCCGATAAAGCCTGGCAGTGTAGTCACATGCACGCGGGGTCTCATCACGTGTTTATTTGATTCAAACATCAACAACTCGATTTTAGCTATATTCCATGTTCAAACGAAGGATGGTCTAGTAGCATCGGAGCTCCTTACTATTCGTCTTTAAGATTAACATTGATACTATCGAAAAGCGACGTACTCCGAACACTTTGTTTCTTTAAAGCGTGCGAAGTGAAAATTGTGAACAACGTGCATCAAGGTTCCAATTCCTGACCATGCCGTAGCCTATGTGAGAGGATTCTGGCGCCTGCTCAATGAGTGCAGAGGCTATCTCTCATCAAGTGTAAAGTTGCTCAACTGAATGCCGACTCTTAATATCAAGTATATCTAGGGATGCTCACTGCTCAGTGCTTCTAAAGCGCTTAAAGTCAAACACGGCAGAATGAGATTGTTATCCTCATAGAACCACCATACATAATGAAAGAAGATCTGGATTTGTTAGAGGTGGCTCCATGGAGCAACACTGTTGTGTAGCAATATGAACGTAGATGCAGCGTGAACCCGTCTTTTTATTTTTTTAGAAATCAACAACTAAAGTCGCATTTTGAAATGAAATATCCGTACATATCATTCATGCTGATCAATTATACTGACTTCGTCATCTTAGATTTTTTGACTGAAGGGTAGATGTGTCGTCCCAAACCACAAGTACGTATGCCATGATTCTGGTATACACGCTAATGGTCTAAGGGAGTGTATGCAGAGCGAATAAATTTTGTTGAAACGGGTAACTATCAGGCGAGAGAAAGGAAAACGAACTCGGGGATGGGGTCCTCATACACAATTACACGCAAAGTGTGAAAGAGAATTTGTGCCCCATGAAGGAGCAAGTAATAAGTTTTCAAAAAAAAAGAACCAAAAAACTAATTCCTAAATAACACACAAAATTGATTATACGTCCTACCGTCAATTGATGACTCCACTCAGATGAGTGCTCACACGTCCGATTTCTCAACAGTAAATACCTACTAGGTCTTATGCTACGATCCAACCCTGATAGTCATTCTCATTACTTCTCGCCAATGTTGCTGTGTACTCTGGCATACCACCGGCCCTATGATAATATTAATGTCCACAAAGGAAAGCAGAAAAATAAGGGAGAAACTTACCAGTTGAGCGGTTCAACCTTCCTTCCAGGAATATTTGCCCCCTGATACCAGCTTTTTGCCAGCGGAAACAAAGATTTATTCCAAGCTTCAGTCATCCTCCTATGCCAATCCTCCTCCGCTTCACTCTTTGCCTCGAAGTAAGTCAAATTTTTCTCGTTTAATCCCTTTATCGTGTCCGCAAGGTATTCCGCTTGGAATTGAGTACAGCTCGGTCCGTTCGAGAATGCAGTAGGTGCTTGAGGCCCGTAAAGGAAGAACATGTTGGGAAAGTTGTTCATTGCAATACCCATAGATGTGCGTGTTCCATCTTTCCATTTCTGGGCAATGGTACTACCGTCTATGCCTTGGATATTGAGTTGGGCCAGCGATCCAGTACAGGAGTCGAAACCCGTGGCGAGAATTAAAACGTCGAATTCTACTTCTCCTTCTTTGGTTTTGATACCCTTTTCGCTGACTTCTAAGATGGGCGATTCGTTTATATCGATAATATCAATGTGTGGCAGAGAGAAAACTTCATAAATGTTTTGTTCTAGAGAAGGGCGTTTGGTTCCCCATGGATGAGGTGGAATCTCTGGTGCCAAGAGCTTCTGTTTTTTGGGGTCGGGAATTCGTTTGAGCACTGATTTGCGCCAAAAATTGTAGGCCTCGTCGTTCGCGTCTTGCTCGAAAAGTATGTCTTTGTAGTTGTTGAGCCAGAAACGGAAACCGCCTTTCTTGATCAGTAGGTCATGGAAGGTGGCTTCCCGTTCTTCTGGCGTGTCATCGAAAGTATTTTTTTCTAGAAATGTATATGGGAAGCCAGCAAATGTATGTCGTGTTTTCTCAAATTCTTCTTCATACTTGCCCTCGGCCTTCTTTCTGGCTTCTTCTTCTGGGTCAAGAAGTCCTTGATTCATGGGTAAGGCGTAATTGGGTGTTCGTTGATAGACGGTAAGATGATTAACAACGGGTCCAATGGTTTGAACCACCTGTATACCAGTTGCTCCAGTTCCGATTTGGCCAACTCGTTTGTTCTTTAAATTAACACCATGTTGAGGCCATGTTGCTGTATGATATATGTCCCCTTTGAAATTACTAAGTCCGTTAAAAGGGGGGGTGAAACGACGAGATGCAAATCCTATACAAGGTATGAACCATCGGCAATAAATTTCGGAACCATCTGAGCATTCCACAAGCCATTGATTGCGTTGCTTTTCGAAGGTAGCTCCGTCGACATGCTTGTCGAACTCAAGGTCTTTCCGAACATCCCATTTCTTTTCAACGTGTTCAAAGTATCGACGAATCTCGCTACCACCGGGAAATTTCTCTTTGAATGTAAAGTCCTCCCATAACTCTTTGTCGAATAATTGATAAATTGGGGCATCAGAATCGACTCGAGCGCCAGGCTATTGTATATTAGCTTTGGAGCCATGCAATATGCCCAGAAAACATACATAACAATTCCAGTACCAGATACCTCCACTCTTCGAACCTTTCTCATAAATCTTACAATTGAGTCCTTGCTTCCGAAGCCTAATTGACTTGTGAGCGACAACGCATTCGATTTCAGAGATGGACTTACTTATTCAGCATAGTAAAAGAGCCAAATCCAGCTCCTACTAGTAGCACATCTACTTCTCCAATCTGTAATGAGCCCATGATTAATTGCTCACGCGCTTGCTGTTGAAGAAAAAGAATGACGATCAAGAGAATCAAGAGTGAAGGTGACCTCGGTATTGAGGTATGAAAATCTGAAGGGGTATCTTGACGTGGCTAGGTGTTACTTATCAAATTCAAGAAATAGAAGCTGAATATGTAATACAGATGGTTCTGATTTGGAATAGAGGGTACAGGGCAGTGATGTGTTCCGTCTTTAATGGCAAGCCGAATGTTCCAATTACATGCACTAGTAACCACAGCTCAAATTCTCAAGCCATTTGAGGAGCAAAGCATCCTCGGACAGATGGGCTCAGCTTTTGAAATCCCACCCATTTGAGGAGTAAAGTAAGGTATGATCGGACAAATGGGAATTCACATCACAACTTTCCGCGCATGCTAACGAGTAAAGGATTGAAGATGATTAGTATATTGCCAACATGAAGAACTAATCTGAAACAACACCACTACAAAATCACTGCATTAATTAGCTATAAGACTTGAAGAAGTAACGAGATCACTGCGGATTTACATCCGCAGTGGTGCGGGGTAATACTTAGCCCCTCATTAAAATGTTATTCCCGTGGGGTAGCGGGGGGGCACTATCTAAAGCTAATCGTAACCGAGTACGACGATAGAACTAGAAGGCAAGTATTGACTGCGTCCGCTCTCAAGGATACTTACTACCCATAGGTCACATGGAAACATGATCTTAGTTTGTTATGTACCGAGGCGAGCGAGACCAACAATGAGACAATGAGTACCGGTCTCGCCGGTGTCATGAATGAATTCCAGAAATAGATTCCAAGGCTCGGATCGTCGCTCCTTGACTCCGCAATGGGATATGCCCTGTTATTAGTCACCTGTGGCTACGAGTTTTTAGGAAAGTTTCCCGAGCTGTGTTGCATTTTGCCGTTGCTTGATCTGCATGAATCTGTCAATATCAATGATTCTGGTCACTGCAGATATAATAGACTTTCGCAAGAGGGCCCGTGTTTGATGTCTCTTGGTCGCGTGTCGATATAATTGTGGTACAGCCACCATAAATTGCAGTTTTGGTGGTATTTCGGAACGATATTGAAACTCTTGTTTAGTCGGAGCATCAGTTTGGACATTCTTCATTGTCCTTGGATATATGGATTGACAAAAATAAACGCATGACCAAAAACATTCGTTGAAGAAGTCAGTTCAAAATGTTACTGTGTAGATTCGTGCCATCATTTGGAAGAGTGATCTCGTCAGTTATTAGTGTAACAGAGAACCTACCACAAATAACATACATGATGGTCAGCCATGATAGCATGTAAGGGATCGTCCGTCACTCTCTACTAGCTGGTCTAGAACTTTATGCCTTTTCATTACATGTCGATGTCTGCAGGTAGCCTTTCCGCTTGGCCTATCAATCCCCACCACCTATTGGTTACCTATCACTCGTACCAAGTTTTGTTACAAACGCAGCTCTGTAGGCGTAGCATTAATAATCAAGGGATAGTGGCAAAATGAGCCTATTATGCTTCATAGAGGGGGGAAAAAGGATTTCGGCTACCCTTTCATGGCCTCAGTCCAATGATTTACCAATTGCTCCTATATTATTGAAGAAAATTTTACTCAATCGGACGAGAATACACCTTCAAGTGTTTCATTGTCTCACAGTTTCTCACAAACTCTTAATAGTGGTTAAAAATATAATTCTTGTGAGGATTATGTTCGCATGCTCCGATGGAGCTTGCCTAGTTGCAGGTAGAAGTGGCGTTTGACTTTTCCACTTTGTGTTAACGTATAATTTCCTTTTACCGCATTCAAGATATCTGGTTGTGCCAAACCTGCCCCAATGGATGGGTATGTAGCAGCCATTTTGGTCCTCAAAGAAAGGGTCAACAAACTCATTTCCCAATTCCGAATTCACCGACTTATTTCCCACTGAAGTAGTCATGGAGCAAATATGCATCTTCGAGGGAGTCACACTTATGATTGGAGATCCCCCTGACGACCACAAGATCATCAGAATCACAATGCGCTGTTTTGATGATTCTTTTATCATGGTTTATAGTCCAGCTCAAGTAGCTATATCACCATATCTCCTGGCACAACACGACGAATCCCTAAGTTAACTGAGGCGAATCTCCCCCAGACCAAAAAAACTTGTTGCATTTGCTTAATTATGTTTAGCTATAAATTGAAGCATGGCTATCAATGGTGTCTTGACTTTTTAGTTCTGCAAGTGCACGTCGTTGATTCAGCATTGACTGAAGATAACTACACCTAGAAGTGAGGTTGAAATACGCATTCATGACTTTTTGTCTTGAGCTCGATCTCTTGAAGGCTATAATCTACAATCCAAACCGCATTATTCGATTCCACTCAAGTTCAGCCCTCCACAATTCCCCTCACAACCTTATCCAAATCCTCTTTCTGTACCCCCAGCAACTCATTCGACATCTCCTCATACTCTGTATAATCACCACCATATCCTTTCACAGAATTAACATATCTAATCAACCCCATCGCACCACTGAAACCTCCCCTTTCCATCTTCTCCATCTTCTTCTGCTCTTCTGCATCAACATATGAAACATCCCACTTTTTATCCGTCGCCTTTTCAAGAGAAGCGAGAATCTGGTTTCGCGAAACATAAAAATTGGAGATGAAGAGATATTTATTGGCGGTTTCTTCTGGATGAAACAGTGCTTTTTTGAGAGCGGTGCCAATAGAGGCCATTGTCGTGGTTGAATAGGCATATTTACCTTTGTTTTATACGACAGCTTTTTGTTCTTTTAAGTCGAAGCCCATGAAAAGTTTTACAGCCCTATTGTCCAAATTGATCAGTCCCAATTTACAAATAGAAAGTAACGCGATTGATCTCCCACATACAGTTCAAAGAATGGGCCAGTGACAAACGCAGACCAAGTGAACCCTTCCTTTTCTTTCCCCTTCAAATATTCCACAGTGTCCAGCTTATACTTAAAGTACTGCGGGATGATTTTCATAGCTTCATCATTTCTCGTATCACTTCCAAACTCAGATGGTATAAAACGTTTTACACCGGCTTTGCTAGCTGCATCTATAACTGCCTTTTGCTGCACATCAGCAGCAGCTGTTGCTTTAGTTGAAATGACTACATCTTGTCCTTTCAAAGCTACCAGAAGTTCATCTTCTGGATACTCGTCACTGACCCGGTGAACAAGGAGATGGGTTGGGAAGACGGATTTAGATGACTTGCGAGAGAGGATAGAAACATTGAAGTTGGGGTCGGCGTCGAAAGTAGCGAGGATCGAGGTCCCCAAGTTACCGGCTGCACCAATTATGATGATATTTTTGAGTGGAGAAGACATCTTTGGTGCGCTGGATAGAGAAATTGTACTTGTACTTGTTCTTGTTCCGTTAGAACTACCTAGTGGTCTGGGCGAAAGTATAACTGAACTTACTAATTTCGCCATTTTATCCTCAGACTGAAAGTATCGAAGTGAGTTGGTCCAAAAACAAGTAACCGGGAATATGTCAATGTTAAAACTGAACTTAATAAATGCTTCAGAGATTTCTTTCAAAAGTGTTCGTAATTGAAGTACTAATGTTTGGATGCAGATAGATTTGAAGAGGAAATTAGGCCAAATTTATGGAAAGCCTCCCATCCAAAATAAACGAGCAGCGTTTGATTTGAAATCAATTAAAGATCTGACAGGTTTTCGGATAACGCAAAGCAAACAACGCGGACAGTTCAAAGTCCCGCAATTCCAAAAAATTGGTGCGATGTAGAATGTGGAAGAGAAGACATTCAGATTGATGGGTCTAATTCCGCAATGCGTTCATAATGGGATGTCTGATGTGGTAGCAGCATGTAAAACTCACCCCCTACTGCCTTCAAAGACCACCACCAACCTGGTCCAGCATACTTGTTAACCCTAGATCTTTTCCAATTCGCTCCTGGAAAGTTGGAGTGTAAAACTTTTACATTCTTCCCATCAACTGAGTGTACATATTTTATGTTCCCATCATGAAGGAGGATCACTTGTGTATGGAGATCTAGCTTCCCCATCCTCCCTCCAGCTCTTTACTAAGATCCTCCACGAATATCCGACATGTCCTTATTTCAGCTTCCCATTGATTTCTCATACTGTTATTCATCCACTTGGACCATCAAGGCTATTCTAGCTATGCCCCAAATTCCTTTTTGATTTAGCCTCAGGGCATATAGTTGAATTCGGTAGACCACAATGTCACGAGCATAAAATTACCAACCCAATTTACCTCGCGCCATGAATCCTCTCAACACAACGACCATCTCAAAAGGAATCATATTCGAATAAGAATTAGCTATCAAATTACATAAGGAGTAAGTACCAAAAACAAATCCCAGACAGGTATCGAAAACAATTTTTGACCAGGAGGATTATTCCATTCTATCCATTCCAGTCCCCACCAAGTCTTATGCATCCAATCCAATACTGCCATTCGGCCCCAAACCCAACTCAGTCCAGCCCAGGACATGCTATCCAAGAGAAAACTCCGTTGATTGATTGACTGATTGTACAAATCATCCCAGACAAGGCCGGGCCCCCATGTACTATTCCATTTACTCCAACCGCAATTAAAAATCATCATCAGCAAAATCCCACTTCCTCGGCGCCAGTTTTCTAACTCTCTTAGTCGGACTTCCTGGATCTACATCTCTTTTCTTAATCCTTAATCTTGCACTCGCACTCCTAGCGACTCTAATTTCGTCATCCTCAACCTTCAATCTCGCCATACTGTCCCGCAATTCCAGTCCTTCATTCTTGGAGGCGTCATCTGGAATTGGCGATGCTGATTTATCCATAGCATGTGTTCGACTCTCCTTCAGGATTCTATTTGAAGGCTTTCGAGGTTTCGTCGGACTCCTGCTACTCAGCTCTCTCTTCAATCTCTCAACTTCCCTCAACAACTTTGCGTTTTCCATTTCGAGTCCGAGAGTTGGGTCACCGTCCTGATTTTCCTTATTTTCATCCCCAGCAATACCAGCCATTCCAGCGATGCCTGCACCTAAACCTCGAACCACGACTTCAACCTTTCTATCCCTCCATTCCTCTTCCCTCTCTCCATGCTCCTCTAATCTTATCATCCACTTTCTACCTTCTTCTTGGATTCTCCTTTCCATTTCCTCGTAGCATTCTTCTCGAATTTCCATCTCTAGTTCCAACATTCTGTCTTCCATACTTTGAAGATGTGCTTCACTTTCCATTCTCAATCGTGACTCGCGTACTAATTCGTCGCGTAAACCATCGATTTCCTCAGACATGCGTGCAATTTCTAATGCCGCGATTTCCATAGTTTCCCGTTCGGTATCGGTAGGTGTCTGATGTGAACCATCACGGTATCGAGAGAAAGTAGGAGAAGTAGGGCTGGTGTAACTTGGATGTCTATCAGACGATTGAGATGATCCGAGAATGGTAGCCGTGATTGATGGAATTCTTGGAACCGTGATCTCTTTCGCCAAAGCCGAGTATCGTAGGATTTGCGAAGTTGCATTAAAGTCCCCCAATGGATCAGCCGTAACGATCATGATCGCTTTTTGAGGATTTCGATGATGGTAGGTTGCTGAAGAAGATTTTGCGCCATGAGATGGGAATGAGTTTGAGAAAAGAAGTTCGGTCAGTTTACATTGGCGAAATGGAACAAGATTTGGCTGTTTTCTTTTGGTTAAATCTTGAAGTCTTAGATAGAGATAAAAAAGTGAATTTAACGTACCTTTGTATTGTTCTCCAAATCTGATTGCATCTGCAAACACTGCCCCAGATACATCAAACTCTCATTAATCTTTCCGGCCTCAGCTAGTGTAGCACCAGCGGTTTTGGTATCTCTAGCTCTTTCACTTCCAGCCAGATCTACAACTGTAAGTGAACTTCCTCCCCAAGTGCCTGGCATTCTCGATTTTCTCCTCTTCTTTACCTCGACACAGAAAAAGCCATGAGACCTAGATGATGTACTGTTAGAATTAGTCCCCGCGACTCTTCGTTCATTGAGACCAGCTTCCAAAACCATGAGAGCATCTTTCATGCTACCGCAGATAATCTTTCTTAGTCCAGCAACCACTTTTCGTTCGGGTGATTGCTCCGTAGGTTTAAATAGTAGTGGCCTTCTTCTAGATTCCTTTGTAGATTTGTTGAGTGACGCTGGCGTTAGAAGATCGAATATCCTATCATTATAAACTTCGTACATCGAGATCAGAATCGCATACTCCGCATGATGATCAACATCGACCGTAATTCCTGTAATATCCGGACTGCTTGGCAAAGCTGATGGTCTTGTAGGTATCGTTCGTCTCGGAGGTTGGTAAGAATCGCCCTTTTGAGGAGTTTTAGCACTAATCATTTTCCTGGCTGCTGTTGCAGTAGCTTGCATAAATGAGGGAATAAAGGAAGTCATCGATACTGTCGATTCTCCTGGAATTGGCACTGGCGCACATCCTGGTGTTTTACTATCATCTTGGTTGACTACGATCCTGATGCTCTTAGGACTTCCTGTTGCCTGGAATGGGGGCAAATATGGATATAATTTGGTTGGACTTGGGTGGTAGGGAATGGGCACGCGTACCACCTGGGGTGTTGGGGCTCTGGAGCTTCCTCGAGATGAAGCTGGGTCGAAGTAGTATGTATCTAAAAACATCTGCGCAGACATAACTTGGGCCTCTGATGGATCTGATGCTGCAATTGAACCATGTAATCCAGGGTGTGAATTAACATCGAGAATGTTGCTGTCAATAGAACGAAACAGTAAATCGAGGGCAAGTTGTGTGAGTCCGCGTTGACTCCGAGAACCAAGAATTGTATGACTCTGCGATAGTTACATTAGCACATACACAATTTGTACATGATCAAACCAAGATATCAACCTTTCCAGAGCCAGTGACTCCCAATGTAGCAAGTAATCCATCTCTACCCTCTCCACCATTTGGTCCCAATACACCTTCTACCAAAGGCAGCACACCCGTTCCTTGGAATACATCCAATTGTGAACTTTCTTCTTCAAAGACCCGAGTAAAAGCGAATCTTTCCACTGCCCTGCGTCTATTGTCATTTGGTGGATTCAATGTAATGTGGGTCGGAGATGCCGTTCCATCTTCAAGTTCTTCTTCAGTGGGTTCTTCAACTGTAAGAAAGCGCTCTGGTATTGGTAACGTGGGGTACAATTGTTGAGTTGATATTGGAGGAGGTCTTAATCGTAAATAAACTTCGAATAATGAAGATGTTGAATTTATTGCAGTCGGCGATTCCATGATTGGGAGAATTTGGAAAAGTGTTGTTTCTTGTGCTGATCAATGAAGGAGGTTTAAAAAGTCGCGGGAAGATTATTTGATGTGCTAGGTAAAGGTAAATCTGGGGTAAAATGTTGTCAGGGCAACCGAAAATAAGCAATGTGAAATTTCCCGGCATTGTTACCCCTGACAATGCCTCTGCTCTGTACCCATGCATATATATGCGAGTGAGTGAATGATGAAACTGTATCAAATCGAGTACGACCTAGGCACGTTTTGTATTTTCATGAGCATCCTAAACTTGCACTTCCACGGCTGTGGCTCCCTAAGGCTAATGGAGCGCCATTCCATTGTGAGTCGGTCATCTGGGTAGATTAAAGAAGCATAAAATCACTATCAAATTCATATATCCTCAAACAACTTCAATGCCAACACACACACTATCTTTATTTGCATACCTACTACAGTTATCTTGTCTCCCCATACCTTCAAAATCATCCTTCTTGCTTGCCTCCCTCCCCCTCCCTCCCCCTCCCTCCCCCTTTCTCGGCCCAGCCCAGTCCAATCCCAACACTCCCTACAATCCTATCAAGAAGTTCAAATTTAATATACAGTAGTACCAACGCAAAAAAATCTTTCTAAAGTCCCTCCATATTTGTATATGCCCCCATATAAATGCTACCTCATAATCATCGTAATAAAACGCAAAGAAAAGGGGCCCAGGTTCCAAATTCTCTTTTTCCCACACACACAAATGAAAAACAAAGCCAATGACGCCTCGAAAACTCACAATCCCACCAAACACCATATGTTAGGTATACATTCCCCAATTACTCCCTAGGACATATGCCTGTCACAGTAAATATTGTCTCTTAATTCTCTGCACTCTTGGTTTTCTTCTTGGAAAAGAAGGTTCCACCTCTCTTGGGTAGTACTTCCCCGTTAGCAATTGCTCTTTCTTCCGCGTAGCCTTTCCTGCGTTCTGCTCTTCGTGCCTCAATGGTCTCCTGGCTGATATGCCCGAAACCATTTCTTCGTCGGAAGCATGCGTCCATGAGTCCATTCGCATCGACGAGTCTTCGAGGAATAGTTTGTACGACTTGG